TTTTTTTTTTTTCCAATTTTTATTTATTTTTTGCAGAACCGGGGATTGAACTTGGGCCCTTGTGCTTGCCAGGCAAGCACTTACTCTACTGAGCTATCTCCCCAGCCCCTTTGGTTTAAAGTTCAAGGTGAAACCAGCTAGCATGAGAGTGTTGTTTTTCTCTTGGTGCAATTTACTTATCTGGAAGTAAACAGACTTTGCAAGATCTGGGGTTTGGTCAGTGTGCATGACAAGAGCAGAGCAGAGGAGGAAAGTGGTATAGCACTGCCAGGCATCCACAAGATACCTGGGTTCAACTTCCAGGAGCACACACACACACGCACACACACAGACATGAATTCTGTGAGAGGAGGACCAAAAAGCTAAAGTATCCGCAAAATAAAGGCCAGTAACCTACGGGTCTAGAGATGTGTGTAAAGAAAAGGGATGGTGTGTAATGAGAGTGGTGTCACTTAATGGCCAAAGCCAGAAGAGAATGGAGATGCTCTGTAACAGAAAAAAGTTTATCTGTACTCTGAAGTAAAATTCCTACTTGTTGATTATGTGAAAATTTACAAAGTTTAGTATTAATTTTTATGGCATTATTATCTAAATTGCAACATGAAAAAAAGTTTAGAGAGCTGATTTTGTCACAGATTGTATAAATTAATATAATTGTTGATTTTTCGTGTATTGTTTTCAAGAATAAGCTCCTGGTGTTTTTAACAGATGGGCCATAAGACCAAGATTGCGAAATATCCCTTAAGAACAAAACAACCTAGAAACAGTCTAAAGTCAACACAAAATACTTTTATTGGGAGTGAAAAACATTTGCAAAAAAAGACAGTTGGTTTGGAAATTTCACAAGCAAGAGGTGAAAAAATCAGGATGACACTCTCACCTACTCAAGATTTATGCAAGCCCTGTACAGATGAAGACTGTCGTCTCCTCCAAAGAGAAATTTCACCCAAAGCCCCTAATATGCAAAAGACTAGAAACACCACAGATACATCTCTAAGAGCTAAACAGAAGCCTTGCAAAAATCACATCATTGCTGCAAATGTGAATAGCAGTTTGGTGTGTCTTACACAAGAGCAACTACGACAAATTTTGATGACAGTAAAGCAAGGGAAGGGATCAGTTTCCATGGCTGAGAATGAAAAGGAGGAAGAAACAAGTAAGATTTTTCTTAAATTTTGTTAGTTTTCTTGTATGTGCTTTACAATTTCAAATTCACTTGCCTTTGGGTTAACTGAAATCTAATTCTCTTTAACATGTGATAGGCTTTTAAAGTTATTGTGGAAGACTTTCTATGATATTCCAACTTTCATAGTTTTAATATGCCCTATTTTAAGGTGCATACCCAAAAATACTATTCTTACATATTATAGACTTAAGAATTTGGTCTCTGTAGAGTCCACAAGAGCTCCTTTCACAAAAACTCTTGTACTTATTTTAGAGCGAATTTTAATTAATCTGGTACCAGGACTCCAACACAGGACCTTGCACTTGCCAGGCAGGCATTGTGCTGCTGAGCTAGATTGCCAGCCCTTATTTTAAATTTAGGCAGCTTTTGTTATATGTAAAATAACTACATAAAAAGTGTTTTCTGAAAACCCCTTTAGCATATTTGTAGCAAAAATTTAGGGAACTCAAGTGCGAGGATTTAACGTGAGTTGCTGAAAAGCCTTGCTTTGCTGGCTTCTGTATTTGCTCTTCCCATCCCTCAGGTCATGCTTGGGGTTGGTGGTACTGTTGTTTTCTAGTGTTTACTCTTTGTGAGGGCATGCTGCAGTCCATTAACAGTTACATGTCTCATGGGAGCTGGCTCCTGTTCATGACATCTTAGTTCTTTATTCACCCACTTCCCTTTTTGTCCTTGCCCACATCTTGGTCCCCTTCCTATTTGGAAAAACAAAAACAAAAAAACCTATTTCTTATTATTTTGAACTTTAGATTTCTCATGTAAAGAAAACCCATGTGACACTACTTGTTGTCTGATTTATTTAACATTATGGTCTCAGGGAGTATCTTTTCCTCCAGATGACTCAAGTTTATTCTTTATGGCAGACCAGTACTCCATTCTGTATAAAAGCCACATTTTCTTTTGTCTGTTCATGTGTCGATTGGCATATAGGTTGCTTCCAAGACTTAACTAGTATGAATTGTGCTGCTATAAATAAGAGTATGTACATAGCAGTGTAATATGATTTCTTAAACTTTTTTGGGAAGATACGGAGTACTGTTTTTTAACCAAAGTAAAACAAACTTGTTCACAAAAGTAGTAGAACAGTGTTAAATGTTTTTTTCACAAAGTAGAACATTGCATTATGTTTTAAAAGCTTTCTAATTTCAGCCTTAAGCTAAGAAACTGTGACTATGGGGAGTAGAAATGCCATTAAGGTTTTGTTAGGCAACAGTGAAATAAAAGTAAAATTAACATTTCCCATGGAGAGGCCTCAAAGCTAGTTTGGGGGCAGGTAATACACTCCTAAGATTTTCACAGACTATTTTGCCATCTCTTAATCTAAATTATTCTTTGTAAAATGAGGAAGCCTGTTTGTCTTTAAGGCTAGAATGCTAACTTGAAGAACAATTTATTGGGTATAACGAGATATTATCAAAAAAGTTTTAAAACACATTTTGAAGTTGTGCCTAATGCTTGCATACCTGTAATCCCCGCTGCATGGGGGGATGAGGTAGGAGGATTGAGGATTGCATATGTGAGGCCAGTGTGGGCAAGTAAGTGTCTCAAAATAAAGTAAAACATAAAAATAAAAAAGGATGCGGGTGTTGGTGATATAGTTTAGTGGCAGAGCCCTGGAGGCCCTGAGTCAGTCCCCAGTACTGCCAAAAATAAATGGAAGATTTTGCCTCATCAAGTAATGACTTGCATATTTGATGTGCTTTCTCTTCAGTGAGATAGCTAGCACATTCAGGAGGACTTAGAAGAATTGTCGATCCAGCATATGAGCGCTCCCTAAAACCACTTCGCATAGCTGCTATGGTGGGGCATAGAGACAACAGTTCAGGAAAAACAGTGGCACTGATTTCACAACTAAATGAGAAAAATAAGGTCAAAGTAACATATTAAGTAAGCTATTTACATTCCCCTTTATGGTGTGATTTGTCTTATAATTTATAGTATTAGTAGAACTATATTACAAGAATAAATTGAGGGTTTTTTTTTTTCATTGTTGCTTTTCTCATTACTTGATGTAAGAAATTGAATGACTGTGGCTAACAAGCCATTTAATCTTTGGGCCTCACTTCCTCTTGTCTTTTTGACAGCCACCTCAGGGATTACTGTGAGTTAAATTATTAAATGTATAAAACTATTTAAACTGTATAGCAGTATGCCAAGATAAGGTATTGCAATAGATGTAATTTACTACTAATTTTAAAACATGCATTTTACTTCCTAGGTCAGGATGGACTACATTTAAAGAGTATTCCTAATCAGCCAGCCAAAGAGGACATGATAGGATTACTCAAGAAAACTGATTCTGTTTCATTTTTCCCAAATGAAAATAAATCTGCTGTTAATAAAAACCAGGAGACACCTAAACAGTATGAGCAGAAAATCATCATGTATGTAACTTACCTACTGTTATGGGGTCATCTTGGGAACATAATTTTGCTTTTGCTTTACTTGCATGTGAAATACTTACTCTGAAAACTTAGAACTCTTTAAAACCTTGTTATATAATACTTCAGTTAGTCATGCAGAAATGTATAATAAGATTTGGGGGTTTTGTGTGTTTTACCTTAGAGGGAATAAATGGAAACCAGCTGACATTTTCACTACTCTTGGTGAAAGGGAACGTGACAGAAGTTTATTAGAAGCAAAAAAAGCCCAGTGGAGGAAAGAGCTAGGTATGTAATTTTTGTACCTTTTATTATAGTTTTGTTGGTTTATAGATTATATAGTGAGGAAGAAATATAATCTTTTAATGTATTATCAAAAGTCTTTTTACATTTGACATCTAGAATAGTTCTCTGCAAATGCATTAAGCTCTGTGGTTTCACTTTGCTTTTATTTGTGTCTTTGCTTAGTGCTGTGTGGTACATCTCAAAGCATTAGTGCACTGGTGTTCTCAAGCCCCTGCAGCTTAAGCAAAATTACTTAAACTTTCAACTTTTATGTTTTCCATTACAGAAATCTGAATTTATGGAGGGTTTTTTTAGATCATATATTTATTTGTTACAGGGTCTTGCTATGTAGCTTAGATTCATACTGATCTCCTGTCTCAGCCTCCCCAGCGCTGGGATTACAGGCGAGTGCCACTACACCCCAGCATAGCGCTCCCGGGTTTTTAGAGCCTGCACAACATGTGGTACTGGGGTTCGAACCCAGGTACTTACACATGCCAGGCAGGTGTTTATTTTGTTTCATTTTGTTTTTTCTTTTTTTGTGGAGCCAGGGCTTGAACTCAGGCCCTTGCACTTGCCAGGGAAGCGCTTATTCAACTGAGCTATCTCCCCAGCCCCAAGGCAGGTGTTTAGACCACTAAGCTATCTCCCCAGCCCTGTGGAGGGTCTTAGTTAAAAACAATTTTTAAAATAATCAAAAAATTCTAGATATGATAGTGTGATGAGCCAATATATTGTTATTCTATTAAAAAGCTTAGTTAGCCTGTGAGCCTGGGTCTTAGCCTGCTGTTAGCCTGTGCGTTCCTTTTCTCTTTGCTGAGACAAAGTACCTGACACCCAAAATTAAAGGAGGAAAGGTTTATTGTAGGTCTGAGTTTGTAGTTGGCTCAAAGGCAGGGTGGCATGGCAGAGGGGCACTGTAGAGGAGAAATCGCTCATGGTGAGCAGAAGGCAGCAAAAGTAGTGAAGCAGCAGCAGATCTGCCTGCTTTCTGTCCCTTTACATCCATTAAGGCTACCTGACCTTTGGGTGGTGCCACCCACAGTCAGGGTGGGCCTTCCCATTATTTACACCCAGAATTATGCCAGGCCACTCTGTGCACTAATGTGGGAATCACACCCTGAATCTCAGCGTCTCACACTGTAGATCCAGCCACCTCTAAAAAGCCTCACCTATAACAACATGAAGCTTTGGGGGGACATACACATATTAATCTTAATGACCTGAGACTCTAATCCAAAAATATGTAACTTGTATTAGAGTCATGAGTTATTTAATTAAATTAATTTATTTGCCTTTTCAAGACAGTCTTGCTGTGCAGTTCAGGCTGGTCTTGAATTCTCAACAATCCTCCTGCCTCAGCTTCCCGAGTGCTGGGATTACAGGCATGCACCACCATGCAGAGTTATTTTGTTAAAAACTAAGAACACCCATTGGTTGTTAGACTAGACTTAAGATCTAGATAACAAAAAAAAAAAAATTTTAAATAACAAAAAAGATCTAGATAACATGATTTTGAAAATACATGGCTTAAGACTGGGCATGGTGGCACACACCTGTAATCCATTGCTTGGGAGGCTGAAAACTGGAGAATCACTAAGAGTCCAATCTACGTAGTGAGACCCTATAGACCCTGTACTAAAATACATAAAAGAAAAAAGAAAATAGACGGTTTTGTATTTGTACCTGTTAGAGACATTATACAGTACTTAAAAGCATGAGACACCCTCACCTTCCATGCATCTGGGAAGTCCTGTGACACAGTTACTAATTCTGATAGGAAGGATGGCTTAGAAAAAGAAATGAGCAACCGAAATAAGGAATTAATTGATAGTAGAAGTCAAGATGATAGAGGACTGAAGAAATTTAATTTGTGATAGTAATATCAGAAGGACATCTCTTTAAGTCATGCTTTGTCTTGGAATTTAAACATATTCATCTTGGAATTTTGTGTTTAAACAACTGTCCATAATGGGCTGGAGAGATAGCTTTGTGGTCTAAGCGCCTGCCTGCCAAGTACAAGGACTCAGACGTGGTGGCACAGACCTGTAATTGCAGCACTGGGGAGGCTGAGACAGGAGGAGCACTACGAGTCTGAACTGCATAGTGAGACCCGGTATAAAATATTTTAAGAATTTTTTTAAACTGTTAATGATTTGAGGCTTAGTTACAATTGTATCTGTTAAATTTTTTTGGTAATTTCTCAGAAATTATGAAAAATTATAACATGTTTACTTTGTGGTAGAATACTAAGCACAAATGTTTTCTCATTTTTTGGAAGAAACTAAGGTTCAGACAGGATAACAAAGTTTGCCCACAGTCATAGTTTGGAAGTGCTTGAACTCAAGTTGACCCTATTCTTTGCTTTCAGAGGTTTGGGTTTTAAATTCTTGTTGGTAACTAAGTGAATAGGAAAATAGAACATGAGCATAATTAACATAAGCTAAGTTATTCTGAAATTTTTTTCCATATTGATAATTGAGTAAAAGTTCTTATATCCATTTGTGCTATGTTTAAATTTGGTTCTGATTATTTCACTTCATAGCCCTAAAAATTCTTCTCTATTTTCTGAGTTAATATCCCTACAAAACAATTTTTATTAAATCTGTGTTGGAATCTGCACTCTTTAAGAAGGTCATGATATGTCTACGTGATTCTTTTCTTACAGTTTTTGTACATTTTTTAAAAAAGGACATTATTTACAGATGAACAGGTGGCCTTAAAGAAGAAGGAAAAAGAAGCTTCTGAAGAACAGAATAATTCTTGGGAAAAATATGAAAGTAAAATAACATGGGAAAAACTTCAAAATCTTGACCAATCTGGGGTAAGAATATGAAAATCAAGAATTTCACTTGATTATGTCTTGATATACCTTAACAGAAGATATGTTATTTACAGCTTTTTAAATGCTAGAGTAGTGAAGGCAAACCATTAGAGCTTTCAGTGATAAAGGCAGCCTGCAGTATGCAGACCAAAGGTTTGCCACCACGCTGCTAAAGTATTCAAATTACAAAGACCATTTTAAAAGCTCATTTACTTAAAACAAAAAACTCTTATAGCTTGGTATGGTAGGACATGACCATAATCCTAGCACTCTAAGAAGCTGAAGCAGGAGGACTATAAATTGAAATCCAGCCTTAGCAATTTAGTGAGACCCCCATCTCAAAAAAAAGAAAGAGAAAAAAAATATATAAAAGGCATTCTGTATTATGCTAATTAAAAGTTAAGAAGGAGGCCAGCAAGATAGCTTAGCAGACTAAGCTCCTGCTTTAGCAAGTGCAGGGTCCAGGGTCCAATCCCCGGTCCTGCTTGCAGTGCCAGCCCCGCCACCAGGGCACACTGAGCCAGGGACTGAGCCTGGGCATGGTGGTACATGCTTGTAATCCCAGTGCCAGGGAGGCTGAGAACAGGAGGATCACTGCAAATATGATCTGCGTAGTGAGACCCTATACCAAATATATAAATGAAAGATTAAAAGTTTAAAAGGGCTGGAGATACAATTCAAAGGGAAGCCATGTTTTAATATTCTGCTGGGTATGGTGGTGCATGCCTATAATCCCAGCACTTGGGAGGCTGAAGCAGGAGGATCACTGCAAGTTGGAGACCAGCCAGGGCTACAAAATGAATTCAAGTCTAGCATGAACTGCACAGCAAGACCCTGTCTCAGGGCCAGGGAGATGGCTCAGTAGAATAAGCGCTTCCCTGGCAAGCACAAGGGCCTGAGTTCAATCCCTGGTTCCACCTTAAAAAAAAACAACACACAACCAGTGTACAGACATATATTATATAATATTATAAAATATAATAACATTCTCTCAGGCCTTCACAGAGAGCAAATTGGTCAAGAAATGGCTGTGACTCATCCACATGGCTGACACTGACAAAGGATCTGCAAACTGCGGTACAGGGTTACAGAATAAATCCTGAGGGTACTTGGCTGACCTTATCAGATACAAAAGTTACATTTCTTGTTATACAGGTCTTGCCTTATCTTGGTCTAAACCATCCAGCAGAAAAGTATAAAAATGAAGTATATAAAGTAAAGCCATATTAATATGCTGAGCTGTGAAAGGGGCTCAAGTCAACAACTTCTGTGGATAACCCCCTACTTTTGTGGATTGCTGGACTGTGTTGAATTGTTTGCTGAATTCATGCACCGATAGTATTTAGATGCCAATGGAATACCCATTTCTGACAGGACAAAACAAAAAAGGCAACCACTAGGAAGACAGTATGAAAGGTGTTAATTATTGGAACTGTCCTACCAATTTGATTTGAAACTGTCTCATTGTTATTTCTCAATAAAATTATGGGGAAAAAAGGTGATACAAAGAAAGGACTATTTTGTATCTGTATATGCAGAATAGTTAGGACAGATATACAGCTACTTTCACTTAATTCAATGAGAAGATTTGTACTAATAGTGTTTGGACAGGATATCATGTCTGCATCCTGTACTATGAGTAACCACTATTAGTTATTGAAACTGTCCTAGTAATTGGTTTTGAAACTGTCTCATTGATATTTGTTTCTCAAAATAAAAGGTTATCATAACCATAACCATGTATATATCAAACATAAGTATCATTTAGGTAGTGTTTTTGTGATGTTTAAATTTTATGGTTTTAATTTGAGGTAAAGAAAAACTGCCCTTGTGTTTTTTTAAATCACTTTTAGACTTCTGCTGGCTCTTCAGATGTCCTGTCACAGTCTCCTTGTCAGGTTATCATGGCCCAGGCAGATGGGCCTTTATCACATAAAGATAGTCAGATTTTAGAGGTAAGCTCTAAATGTCATTACTTTGAATATTTAAACCCTTTAATACCTGATTTTTGTTAGAACGCCTTTTCTTAAATGAGTGATTCTACTTTTTTCTTACTTTTAATTACAAATTAATTTTGTTATTACTGTATTTGTATTATGTAGTTCCTTAAAATCTACAGTTGCCCAACAAAAAAAATTAACATGCAAAAAACTTTTTCTTCTTTAAGAATTTTGTGATAAAATATGCATAAACCTAAATTTTTAAGTATACAGTTCAATGGCGTTAAGTACATTGACACTGTTGTACAGCCATTACTACTACCCATATTCTGAAGTTTTCATCATCCCAAACTGAAACTTTGCCCATTAACAGGAACTTATTTCTTCCTCCTCCAACCTTCTGGCAACCATCATTCTACTTGGTATGAATTTGACCTTGTACATAAGTGGGACTATATCATCTGTGCCCTTTTATGAATGGCTTATTTCACTTAGCATAATGTCTTCCATGCTGTTTTGACTAATGTTACTATGAGCATGGATGTACAAATAATCTGAGTTCTGAATTCGGTTCTTAATTACAGTGTATGGATGTTGAACTTTGCGGCACCCCCAGAATTGGGAGTAGTAGATTTATGTTATGGGAATTTTGTTATAACAGTCCAGATGGACTAAGACAAATTCATAGCAATGTTTACACAGGTCTATAAGCACATTAAAACTCACTGCATTTTTAACTTTGAGTGAATAATTTCATAGAGTGTAATTATCTCAATTAAAAATTTTAAGGGGGCCTGCCCCTTAGCTCAGTTCTTTAAGTGGCTGCTTCAGCAAAGCAGTCAGGCTCAGGTTGCTGTGGTTCAATCCCCACAACTCAAGCCAGCCAATCCTGCCCTGAAGGCATTCGGAGCAAAAAAAAAAAAAAAAAAAAAAAAATTTAACTGCATGTATCTATAGGGTACACTGAGATACTGCAGTACCTGCATTGAAGCGTGTAGTGTTCAAATCAAGGTAGCTGGCATTTCCATCTCATTGTTTCTTCAGAAGCTTTCAGCTCCTCTGTTATTCATCTAACATGTTACTATAATTATAGTCACACTGTGTTGTAAAGCACTAGAACTTACTCCTCCTTTCTAACTGTATTTTGGTTCAAAATGGTCTCTTATTTCCCTACCCCTACTTTTCTAATAGTCCCTCTTCTACTTTCTTTTGCTTACTTATAAAAAGTGAGTGCTGAGGCTTGAACCAGGGCCTTCCATGTGCTAAGCTTGTGTTCTACTGTTGAACTGCTTAGAAGTTGCTAAGCTGTTCGTTCATTTTAACATAGACTAAAAGCCCCCAACAGTAGTGATTACACTGCCTCAGCATTAGATTGTCTTGAAATTTCTTCTGCAAGCTAATTAGTCCCCCACCTTTAGTCTCCAGAAGTGCCTCTGGACATGAACAAAATGCAGATTTTCTGCCAAAGCATAACACACGTCAGTGCACCTCTTCCCAGCAGAAACATCTTAAAGCTGATCTTTACTGGCAGCATTCCTATCATTCTGCTCTTCTGAGCTCTCATCAGAATCTTCCAAGTTCAACTACACCATTGTAGGCTGCTACTTCACCTGTTATCGCCAGTCTCTTCCCACCAGTTTCCACTTCCAAAGGCTCCTATACCACAATCTGGTAGATAAGAGTCACAGCAGCAACCCCACTCTCAGTACCAAAATCTGTATAAGTTAGTGCTTATTAGGGAAACTTATTTATCTATTTATTTATTTGGAGACAGGGTCTCACTGTGTAGTTCAGAGTGGTCATCAACTCACTGTATAGCCCAGGCTAGCATCCAACTCATGGCAATCCTCCTGCCTCAGCCACCTGAGTGCTGGGACTGCAGCTGTGTGCCAGCATGCCCAGCTAGAGAAACAGATTTAATGCAAGATATAGAAATACATAAGATTACAAAATTGGTTTACAGTCATGGCCCAAAATTGGTTTACAGTCTTGGGTGTAGAAGACTGTAAAAGGTCTGTGCACACTAGAGATCCAAAAGATGTCAGTAGCCTGGAGCTCATGGCAGTGTCCCATGTGAGTCTGTATCAGGACAAAAGGTGTGCACTGGAGGCTGAAGGGTCTGTGCTAGAGATTGAAGCGTTTGCACTGGAAGCCAGGAGATGACTTCTAAGATGAAGGCATAGACTGGAGCTCCTCCAAAGAAACAGAAGCAAGCCTGCCTTTTTTGTTTCTGTTTTACAGCATTCTGGTAACAGTCCTCCTTAAGGTGGGTCTTCCACCACGAGAACTATGTTGAGCCAGTTTAGTTGAGTGTTTCTTACTGAAAGGTGACAGACTCATTTTAACCGTCACATTCCTCAAGCTCTTCAAAGAAAATAAAAGGGATGGATTACTCCCAAACTCATTTAAGGAAGCCAGTAGCACCCTGATCCCAAAACTGAAGACCAAACTACAAAAGAAAACTATAGGCCAATCTCCTAATGAACACAGATGCAGAAGTCCTCAATAAGATACTAGCAAATAGAATGTAGCACTTCATCAAAAAGGCCATACATCATGGTCGAGTAGGTTTTATCCCAGAGATGTAGGGATAGCTCAGCATACAATGAATAACGGAATGTTTCACATACAAACAAGATCAGAAGCTATATTGTCATATCACTAGATGCAGAAAAGGCTTTTATCAAAATCTAACATCCTTTCATGATTTAAACAAACAAAAACTGAAAACAGACATAGAAGGCCATCCTGAATATGATGAAAGCTATATGTCACTAACCAACAGGCCAGCATCTTACTATAAGGGAAGAAACTAAAAGCATTCCTCTTAATGAGAACAAGATGTCCACCATCACCTCTTCTATTCAACATAATATTTAAAACATTAGCCAGAGCAATTAGGCAAGACAAAGTCATATAGGAAAGGGAGACATTATCATTGTTTGTAGATGACATAATTTACATACAAGACCCATAGAACTCCCAACAAAAAACTTAACTTTAGAATAACGAAGTGTCAGTAATGTATAAGATTAACAAAAATCATTAGCATCTGTGTACACTAACAATGAACAGAACAGAGAAGGAAATTATGAAAATAATACCATTCGTAGCAGCTTCAAGAAAAATGAAATACCTAGGCATTAACAGCCAAAGAAGTGAAAGACATCTACAAAGAAAACTACAGTACTCTGAAAATGAGACTGAAGAGGACATCCGAAAATAGAAAAATATTCCCTGCTCCTTGATAGGCAGAACCAATATTGTCAAAATGGCCATATTCCGAAGTACTTCTCAGGAGTAATTTCCATTCCTTTATTTTGTTGTCTTGGAAGATCCTGTTCTATGCCCTGCATCCCCACCACCCTGGCCTTTTCTGTCAGGTAGAAAAGCGAGCAGGTGCATGGTGCCTTGAGTGGTGAAGCTATTGCTCTTTTCAAAGTCAGCACTGACTGCTACTTCCCTGCTATGTAGGTATATCCCTCTACTAAGTGTATGTTTAAAATATGGCTTTAAGAATCAGAATATATCTACTTATTAGTACAGAAAAATTCTTTGAAGTTATTACTTCTAGAGATAAATGCATTACTGGGACCTATCAGTTTAAATGGCTGGCAAGTTTTCCAACTATAACGTAGTGAGATAAAGAACTTAACTTTAATTGGTTTGATAGTTTTGGACGCAGTATTAGTAGAGTTAATTAAACACATAGATGATAGCAAAGTAATGAAGTTTACATATTCAAAAGTAACTGGAAGTTTTGTGATTATACGGGAATTTTTATTTTGTATTTTTTGGTAAGGGTTTACAGAGTCCACAGCGTCTCACCATGTAGATCAGACTCGTAGCGATCCACCTGTGTTCAGCCTCCCAAAGAGCTGGGATTACAGGCATGTGCCACCACACCCAGTCTCCATCTCCATCTCAACATGCCCTGGGGGCAGGGCCGGTGCAGCACGGCAGGGATTAAACCCTGGTGGGCAGCTGCTACATCTGCCTAAGCAGGCACTTTAATCTGCTGAGCTATTTGGCCGGCCTTAATTTGTCTTTAGTTATATAAGCATGCAAATGTTTTGAAATTACTTGACTACATCATTTATATTCCACACTTGCCAGTGACCTGCTTTTATTGCATATATTTAGTGTGATTTTCTTTTAATTTTAAAAGAAATGTCTTAATTCTTTGGGTATCTTACATTTTCTAGTTGTCCAAATGTACCAGGAAATAAAAATACAATTGTTTTAATTTTTATGGCCCTTATTCTGCTTTGTGAAACTTAAATTGTGGATTCTATGTGACAGTTGGAAAATTTCTTAGCAATATGGTTTGGAACAAATAGGGTGAAGAATATGACAGATGGGCAGTGCATTTCGATTCATTAAAGAGTCATCCTGGCTCTCAGTCTCAGCTGTGCTCGCAAGCTCAATCAGCACACAAACACCTGGAGTACTTCTGTGTCTCTCCTGACACTCAGGAGCTGACTGATGTCAGCAGTGTTTATACACCTATAACTGGAAGCCAGCTTGACCCTTCAGAGGAGGAGCAAGGAGCAAAGCCTGGTAGGGATGTCACTGTGGCAAACAACCAGAAAACAAAGTAAGTTCATTCTTGAGCTATTTATTGACCTTAAGACTGTATCTTAACAGGACTGTTAATATACCTAACTGACTTCAGTTTTGGTACTGCTCTTTGAAATAGAAATTATTAGTAAATGTATCCCAAGCTACGTTTTTGGAGTTCTGAATATTTAATATATCTTGTCAGCTTTCTTCGTTCTATGACTGCCCTGTTGGACCCAGCAGAGATTGAAGAACGGGATAGACGACGACAAAAACAGTTAGAACATCAGGTATTGCATAGTAAAACATTGATTTTTGCCTTATTAAGTAACAGTCATGGCCAACATATACCTTAAGTAGGTGGAAATTTAAAATCTGATACTATTCTATAACAGAGGCCCTGTTACAGCCACTGAGAGCCCATCTCTGCCCCATGCTATTACAATTAAGTTTATGCAGGGTACCAGACAGTGTCATAAACTACACTCAAGCAAGTGGATTATGAGTTGAAGCCCAGCCTGAGCAATGTAGTGACTTAGCAAGAAGAAATCTCAAAGTAAGGTTTATAAAAAGGCTTGGAGATGTAGCTCAGTGGGCAGATGTACATGCGTATGTGTGTATGTGTATGTGCATGCATAGTACACAGATATTCTTCATTTAATGACCTACCTGGTTAACAACCCGCATCGTTGATGGCTTTCAGACTTATGACTAAGCCATACTGTTTGGACTTAATAATCCACCGTCTGGACTAATAACACATCTTTTTTGGTACCATATACCTTGTTTATATAGTAATTTTTGCTGGTTATACAGTACTATAGTTTTTTGGGGGTTTTTTTTGGCAGAACCGGATATTGAACTCAGGCCCTTGTACTTGTCAGGCAAGCGCTTATTCTACTGAGCCACCTCCCCAGCCCCTACAGTACTATAGTTTTGTTTTACATTACAGTATTACAGTATAAGAGTTTTACAAATAAAAGCAAAGTCATGAAGTTGGAATTTCTTTTTGACCATTTATATTCTGAATATTGTATATGCAGTTGTATAATCTGTATAATTCTTCATTTAGCGTCCAGTTTAACAACCTACTCACAGAAACTGGACTCAGTTGTTAAATGATGACTCTCTTAAAATAATTTGTACTTTTCTGGACTATTAGTGTTAGATTTACTTTTGTTTTTTGAAACCTGACCTCACTATGTGGTTCAAGCTGATCTTGATCTCACTGTGTAGCCCAGGCTTGCCTTGAACTCATGATGATCCTCCCACCTCAGCTTTTGCACATGCTGAAATCATGGGCATGTACCACCACATCATTAGCTACCTGTTCATTAGCTTATTTCCCATTGTTTAGATTGATAGTTCTTTGAAAGACAATAATGTAGGGATTTGAAGAATTATGATTAAGAAACACATATTTTAGGGTTAAATACCTGATTCACTTTAAAAAAAAAAATGTATTTGGTACAGTATCTCACTACACAGCTCAAACTCTTAGTGATCCTCCCCAGCACTGGCATTACAGACATGCGCCACCACATCCAGTCTCAGGTCTCAGTAGCTGGCTCAGTGCACCTGGGGGCAGGGCCAGCATGGCATGTGGTGCCAGGGATCGAACCCCAGTCCTTGTGCTTGCCTAAGCAGGTGCTTTGTCCACTAACTGATTCACTTTTTGTTGCTATTTTTCCTTGGTTTTTTGAGATAGGGTCTTAGTATATAGTCCAGGCTGGCCTTGAATATTGGTTGCCTCTAATTTTTGAAATCAGAATTTTCTTTCATTTTCTTTTGTTCTTTGAGATGGAAAGGCCTTGTTATATTGCCCAGGTCCCATCTTTTAAATTCTGGGCTGAAGTAAGCTTCTCACTTGACTTTCAAAGGTAGCTGGTTCTATAGGCATATGCATAGTTGAATAATTGTGTAACTATTGAGATATGAGTAATTTGGCATAATGCTATGCTTCTGTTTAGTTCACTCAGCAGTTCATAGACCATCTTCCATTTACCAGACTTTATGCTAAGTAATGAGACTATCAGTTTTCCTAATAGGCTTGCTGGGGTTAAAGCATAAAAAAGGCCTAGAGAGCTCAAAGATGGGAGAGGTACATTACACATTTGATACTTTTAACTTTACTCATACATAGTATTTTCTGTATATACAGTACCAATAATAAAACAACATATTGTGAGTCACCAAGACAAATGTGTCATAGACTGTGGCAGAGACTTATATGGCTTATTTTTACTACTAGAAAGCAATCACTGCTCAGGTGGAAGAGAAACGCAGGAGGAAGCAACTGGAAGAGCAGCAGAGAAAGCAGGAAGAAGAAGAAGAGGAGCGCCGCGTGGCACGGGAACAGGAGGAGATGCAGAGGCAGTATGAAGAGGATATTCTTAAGCAAAAGCAAAAGGAAGTAGGTCTTTGTATTTTAATTGTTCCCATTTTTTTAACAAAAATGTATTTTTGAGAGTAGTAAACTTAGAAGACTGACATTTTTATATGAAGCTCTTTGTGGCAACGTTAAAGTTACGTGCAGAGGAGCTTGAGAAGGTTTTATTTCCTAATACAATTCTCAAATGCTGATTGCTCTGGCTCTTTCTGGTAAGTGGGAGGTCAAGAGCAGTGATAGCACAAAGTTGAAGTTACCTTATGTGTGATTTTGATATCACAGATACTATACTTATGCTTTCCTTCTGAGCATGACTATTAATTGTAGCTGTAAGAGAAGTGATTGTCCTTTCTATTCATACCAACAGAACCCTCTTTTTGGTGGTACTAGAAATTAAACCCAGGGTCTTTGTATTGAGCTACATCCATAGTCTTTTTAAAAAAAAAAAAAAAAAAAAAAAAAAGATATAAAAAGATATATTTCAGTATCAAAGCTCTAGTTTCAATCAAGAAAAAGAAGGCCATTCACACTAAGCAATAGCCTTGGCTTTTTGTTTCCTTTACTGGGGGATAGGATCTTGTTAAATAGCTAAATTCCCCAGGCTGGACTCTCAAACTTGTTACCCTCCTACCTCTCAGTATCTTGAAGTGCTGGGATTATAAGCATGTTTCACCATGCCCTGGCCATAAACATATTTTTACAGAAGGATTGAGATTGATAATATAGTTTGTGGCTGTGTGAGTTCCTGTGTTAAGTAACAGTATTTTTAATTAAGATACCATGTTGGTCAAGAGAACTTTAAAAAACTTTATAGTTCAGACAGGACAGGTTAGGGTAGTAAAAAGTTTTTGAGCTGACCTCTCAAAGGGCAATGACATTCAGTTGCCAAAGATTTAAAGGTGTAGACAGTAGAATACAAACAAGAGGATCACAAGTTTGAATCCAAGACTTGGTGATAAGTTGTCCCAATGAAGAAAGACAGACAGACAGACAAGTGGTGTGGCTCAGTATGAAGGCCCTAGCTTCAGTATCTTGCACTACAGAAAACAAGGCAAAACACATGGGGTCGAGATATAGCTCAGTGGCATATAAGTGTCTGCCTGGCAAGTCCAACGTCCCAAGTTTGATCCTTGATACCAATAAATAAATAAACAAACCAATATTAAAGACCTGAATATCTTTTTTTTAAATTTTTTTTAAATTTTATTTATTTGTGTGTGTGTGTGTGTGTGTGTGTGTGGCCAGCTCAGCCCACCAGGGGGCGGGGCTGGCTGGCATGTGGTGCTGGGGATCGAACCGTGGTCCCTGTGCTTTGCTAAGCTTGTTCTAAGTAGGTGCTTTAGACCACTGAGCCATCTCACCAGCCCAGACCTGAATATTTTAATATGAACTCTAAGGCCCTTTACAATAAAATACTGCCTTAAAAAAAGAAAAACACATGGAATCAGGGATACAGTTTAGTGGTGTAAGTATCCACCTGGCAAGTTCATGGTCCTAAATTTAATCCCAGGTACTGCTTTTTTTTTTTTTTTGGCGGTACTAGGGATTGAGCTCAGGACCTTGTACTTGCCAAGCAAGCGCTTATTCTACTGAGGTATCTCCATGGCCCACTGCTTAATTTAAAAAACCTGGGCAAGCGAGATAGCTCAGTAGATCTAAAGCACCTGCCTGGGCAAGCACACAAGGACCACCCACCCCCACACCCACCCCTGAATATCTTAATATGAACTCTAAGGCCTTTTACAATAAAATGCTGTTTTTTTTGTTTTTTTAAGTAGAACACAAAGTCTGCATTTTTGCCTTTTCCTACTTGGCATCTTTCAGACTGGTAAAGGTAGACAGGGCTCCAATTTCCTTGAGTTGAATAAGCTAAAGCAGCTTCTCTTATGTGACATCCATATATACATGAGAAAATCAATTTGCTTGCATTGCAGGTGACCACATACACTATTTTGCCTTTTATCATTAGGAAGTTTATCATCACTATGTAAAACATTGAAAACATTATGGGTGAACTTTTATTTTTTTATTATTGGATGAACTTTATTTATTTTTATTTAAAGGACATTGACTGAAATTCATAGAAAAACTAGCTATTATTCACTTTACCAAAAGATTTACAACAAAGTTCTTTAAACTATTGGGATCTCCAATACACTTAGAATATGATCTGATTTACAAGCCAGCAGCTGTATTACTGTAGTAGTACAGCTTTTCCATGGAGAATTTGGTTACTCAGTGGGGTTGAAGGTGAGGGAAAGAAGTCATTTTGGATGAACTTTAAATTGATAAAAAAAATAGTTCTTATATTTGTGACTTAATATGGATGGAAAAAATACATTAAAATGTAATCTACAGCCAGGCATGCTGGCACACATTTGTAATCCCAGGTATAGGGGAGGCCAAGGGTCACAGGTTAGAGCCCAGCTTGGGCCATACAGTGAGACCCCTTCTCAAAAATAAATATAACTTCCATAAGAGCCCTGTTAACTGTTAAATTTCTCATATTTAGAGCAGTGCCTGACACACCAGAAAAGTCATTCTATTAAGAGAATAGTCAAGTCTGTATTAAGGTTGATAGTTTGTTTTTAATAACTTTGTACATGTCAATATGAATAGGAGATCATGACTCTGAAGACAAATGAGCTATTCCAGACAATGCAGAAAGCACAAGAGCTGGCTCACAGACTGAAACAAGAGCAAAGAATCCGAGAATTGGCTCAAAAGGGACATGACACTTCCAGATTGGTTAAAAATCTTGGTGGTAAGTACACAAATTTTATATTTACATAAAATATAAATATATTTATAAATATAAATATCTATATATGTATAGATATAGATATTATATATATAATCTATATATAAATTTATATTTATATATGTATCTTATATATTTATATTTTCTGAAATTATTTTAAATAGTGCTTGTTTGTATTAGAAATAACATCTGAATATACCTATTATTTTTATAGGTATTTCAAATCTTAAACTAGTCTAACTTTTAAAGTAGAAATTGCCTTAAAAGTAGAATGTTAAATTTTGAATTTTTTCACCTACTACAGTAATCCTGTGACACAGTTAAAAGGTGCACTGTTGTTCTCATTTTTATTTAGAAAATTACTGTTATCTGCCTAAATTCAGTGAAGGATAAGAATGCAAGTAACATTTTACAGAAACATTTCTCATTGACAGTTTTACCACGTTTACTTATTGCTATACATAATTCTTTTTTATTTTTTTATTTTATTTATTTTTTTTTTAAATTTTATTTATTTATTTGTGTGTGTGTGTGTGTGTGTGTGTGTGGCCAGCTCAGCCCACCAGGGGGCGGGCTGGCTGGCATGTGGTGCTGGGGAACTGCGGTCCCTGTGCTTTGCTGAGCTTGTTCTAAGTAGGTGCTTTAGACCACTGAGCCATCTCACCAGCCCCCATAATTCTTTTTTAAATTTTGGGCAGTGCTAAAAATTGAACCAGGACCCTCATGTGTGCTAGACCGATGCTATTTAGTAATAATCCTGAAGGGCTGTTTTGAGATAATTTATTTCTCCTTGCCAGTTGATAAGATACATGTGGAATACAGTACATCCACTAACATTTCAAGTTCAAGATATGACTCTGGTGAAGCTGGCGGTAAGACAAATACATGTATTGATTCCACGACTTCTCCCAAGAAGGATACTGGTGTGCAAACAGGTATTCGTGGAGTAATTTTGATTAGATTTTAAATTTGGAAATAACCACAAAACAGTTAGATGATGTTCACTTCAAGTTTTCAAGCGAACAAAGGCATGTCTTGGTTTTTAAGTTTTGAGATATAAATGACTTGACTCTTAAAGGGTGAAACTCAGTTTAGAATGTTCTTGTGCAGTCATAACCATAATTAGCTCTGAAACGTTGTCAACACTTCTCGCTGTCCCTCTAGTTTACATTCTTTCTTGGAATATTTGCCTATTCTGCGTATTTCATGTAATTGGAATATTGGTCTATGTGGCCTTTATGTCTGACTTCTGTCTTTCGCATGCTGTTTTATGGTTCATCCTTGCTGTAGTATAAATTTCCTTATCAGTATTTCACTCCTTTTTATTGTTGAATAGTCTTCCACTTTTTGTTCATGAGTTCATGTATACGCTGCTGTGGACATGCATACATATTGAATGGTGCATCAGTACTCTGCAGCATTTGGAGGAACTAAAAATAGTCTACCAAACTGCATCATTTACATCCCCAGTATGAGGTTACTGATTTCTCCATTTCCTTACCAATAGAGCTTTGGTCTTTGTTTTTTTCAAAACAGGGATCTTCTATGTAGCTCAAGCAGGCCTCAAACTAACCCAGGCTGGTCTCAAACTCTCAAATAGTGAATCCTCCTGCCTTAGCCTCCCAAGTGCTGGAAATATAGGCCTGAGATTACAGGTGTGCCACACCTGGCCAGAGGTGGGATTTTTTGGTACCAAGAATCATACTCTGAATCTTGCACTTCCTAGGTAGGTGCTGTGCCGCTGAGCTATCTTCCATGGGCCAAGAGGTTTTAAAATGGTATCATAAGTGGCACTAATTTGCATTTTTCCAGTGACAGGCAACATGTGCATATGATTTTAAGCTTATTTTAAGGTAATAAGGCAACATCTATGTTGGTTATATGTAGTAGGTGTCTGTGCTTAGGAATTCTTTCAGCCTTCCACCTGTTTTTAGAAATTTTTCATGGTATAAGGGGTAGAATTTGGCTATATTGCCCAGGCTGGTCTCAAATTTTGGGTTCATCTGATCTTGCTTCAGCCTTCTGAGTAGCTGGGACTACTAAATATACATTACTGCACTCAGCTTTTCTTTTTTAAAAATAATTTCATTATCAGTTGACCTTGTCAGTACTAGTGGCTCTTGAGGATAAGGTAGTAAATTAGAAACAGAAACAAATTTCACTGGCCAAAGTTAGGAAATAATATTGTTGAAGCCACTATGTAGTTGGGTATCCTCAAACCCAAAATGTCTTAAGGAAATCTTAACATTGAACAGCTTTTTGCCACTAGGTTTTGAGCTTTATGTCATTAAAACACCAGGACTAATCCACATCATATGAAGTACATGGTGATGGTGGTGATATGGCAGTGGAGATCGGCTTCTGCCTTTGCAGTGCATGCTTCAAAATGAATAAAATGGAGGTTATACAGAAACTGGAACCTCTGTCTGTATACTGCTAGTCAAAATGTAGAATTGTGTAGCTGCTATAGAACAGTATGATCTTTCTTCAAAACAAAAATAGAATTACCATGTCATTCAGCAGTTTCACTTCTGGTATATACCCAAAAGAACTAAAAGTAAGGTCTCAAAGATACTTGGGTGCCTGTCTTTATAACAGCAGTATTTTCAACAACTCAGAGGTAGAAGCAACTGGTCTGTACAGATGAATAAAGAAAATGTATACTGTATATTGCACAATGGAATATTAGCATGACATTCTCTTACATACCAAACACGATGAACTTTGAATACTGTGTGTTACATGAAACAACTCCATTTACCTGAGGTTTCTACAGTAAGTCAATTTATAGACTCAAAGTAGAAAGGTGGTTGCCATCAGCTGCTCTTTGACAGGTATACAGTTGCACTTCTAGTCTTGGCAGAAATGATTAGAATTTAAAAGTGATTCAAATATACTTTAAAAAATCATGATCATTTGAAACTTTTTTTAGATGACTTAAATACAGGAATATTCACCAATGCACAGCTACACAGTGGATCAATAATAGAGACGGAAGTTATAAATTGTTCATCTCCTGAGATTTCTGCAGAATTTAATGGACAGTTTAACAAAGACAAGCAAGAACCAAGTGAGGATAAAGGAGCCAACTTAGAAAAAGAAAATAGTTGGTATGACCAATGTAGTCACTTCATGAGAACAGAGAAGCAGCAAATAAAACCTACAAAGAAATGTCCTAAAAGGCCTGATTGGAATATAAATAAGCCTCTCAAAAGGTATGTTCCAGCATCAGGAAAGTACCCTAAACAGCTTCAAAAGCAGAGAGAAGAGAAAAAGGTAAGAAGGCAGATGGAACTGCTTCATTTGGTAGAGAGAAACAATCCTGAACACCTCTGTCAAAATAGAAGCACCTCACCAGAACTACTTCCTTCATCTCATCAAGACACTGAGTCAAAGATCCGGTGGCATCTGTTCAGAAAGGTAAAAGTGCCTCTTTATTTTTAAGCACATTTTTTAATTTAAGGATGTTCTTGTCTCAACAGGAGTTAACAGCAAACTATAGCCTGTGGGCAAATCCATTTTGGTAAATAAACTTTTATAAGAACATAGCTATGCTTAACCATTTATGAATTAATCATGACTGGCTTTGTACCACTATGGTTGAGTAGGTACAGTGGAAACCACAAGGCCCCAAAGCTAAAAATGTTTCCTATGTGGCCTTTTATACAGAAAAAATGTGCACTATAGCTAACTGAATGGCCTTTGGTATTTCAACACACATGCAAGACCTTTGTTTTTATTCAGTGGCAAATTGGGATTAGGAACTACTAGTTTGACTGGAAAAATACTGCATCTCCCGATTTCATTATCTAGTATGTTACTCCAACATTGTCCTCAGATTATTTCAGCAATAACCATAAAAGTACCTGAGGACATGTAGAAATGCTAAATACTCCTCTATTTTATATGTCCCTCTTTTAGGAAGACCCACCTCTGAGAACTCACTTACTCAACAAGGAAAGGTATAAGGATTCTTTCTTTTTTTCCTTGTCTCATTTTTATTCTGCATTTGTAAATTCTTTTTAATTTTATTTTGAAAAGTAAAAACTGGATTGTTTCTATGTGCAACAAGAACTGCAAAATACTTGCTCAAAAATCTAGGTGAGATTAGGCACATGATGGATGAAGACAGTGATATGAAAGAGTTTCTTCTATGTGAGGGGACGGAGGTGTAAGGGCTAAGATCACACTTTAGCTACACTGGACCTGAGTAGGAATGTGGGTAACATTTTCTATTAACTGTAACTGTTGATTTTCTAGGTGCATCTACAATGGAGTAGGCATTCTGCTTGAGTGGGGCGGGGGGGGGGGGGAGAAAGAAAGTGAATGGTAAATTCAGCGAGAAATGAAACAATAAGAAATTCAGTTAAGCAGTGGGAGATTTAAAAATGCTAAAATTTGTATTTTTTGTCTTTTATGTATGAAAAGTAGAGTGTTCTCAGAATGTCACTCTAATAACAAATTTAGTTAAGATGGTGAGGACATTACTTTATGGTGAACTAAGAAATGTAAGGATTAAACCCATCTAGGACCAGTCTTTAGTCATTTTTCTGTTATCTGGAATACACATATCCTTAGCCTCATGCTAGTGAAATCTTATTGTTGTCCTGTTTTAGAAAGTTATAGACTTTAGGTGATTATACATGGTGTTCCTAAAGATGATACAAGTATGTGGTTGAAGAGATGTGTTTAAAATACACAATTTACTAGTTTCTTAAAACTGTAATTATATTTAAAAAATAGGTTTCAGTCATCACCAGTTCCACCCATGAAAAACAGAACACAACAGACTCAGACTACCGCACTACACTTTCCACTAAAAAATAGTAGCTATGAAAGTGAGAATCTGATGCTAGGAGGTAGTCAAACAGAATTATTGGCTGGGACGCCTGAATTGCCCCATTTTATTCCCTACGTTCGAACAAATGAGATCTATTACCTGGATCCAGATGCACCACTGTCTAGGTCTTCAACTGAGGACCCTCCGTACCAAAATACTTCTTGTGGTAAGTAAACTATTCTTTCTGAAAAAATTGAAGATTAGTGTCACCCCCCCCACCTTAACTTTATTTTTAACCCCTGCATTTAATTTTAGAAAGTATCTTGGGCTGGCAAGATAACTCAGTGGACTAAGCACCTGCTTTGGCAAGCACAGGAACTGTGGTTCGATCCCTGGCACCACATGCCGCGGGCCCTGCCCCTGGGCTCACTGAGCCAGCCATCGAGACCCAGAGTGGTAGCGCACGCCTATAATCCCAGTGCTGGGAAAGCTGAAAACAGGATAATTACTGGTCTGAGCTGCGTAGTGTGACCCTGTACCAAATACATTTAAAAAAGAAAAACTACCTTACAAAGTATGCCTTATACAGTAGAATGAATTTGAGATTTTATGCTTATGTGCTTTCCCGGGATACAGATTTATAAAATGAATCCTTAAAATACTACAGCCAAAGATTGTACCAGTATTAGAAATGTATTTGACTTTTGTTACTTTTATCTTGCTTCAGATTGTGACCAAGAACAGCTGTTCAAATCTGATGAAATCAGGGATCCATTTCTTAATCCTAACTTGCTAAAAAACAGGGATCGACAACAAGCAATCCTTAAGGGGCTGTCAGAACTGAGACAGGTATGAGCTTTCTACCAAAGTCCAGACATGACTGTTCTGTGTGTAATGCGGGGAGCTATGGCAGTTTCGATTTAGATCACATCCCAGTTTTTAATTACTTTAGTTCAGTTATGTGAAAATAAAACAAAGCTTTTCTTAAATTTCCTTGCACTTTACCATCTTTAAAGATTTTGGCACAAAATCATGAGACAATTTAAATTTTAAGAACAAAATTAAAACAATTTTATTGAAAATGCATACATTTAAATGGCAAAACATGATCAGTAATGCCCTAAAATCTAAATACAAAAAATACGATTATGCTTTAATGAATTTTAACCAGTGTGGGCCATGGTTCTTAAAAATGTGTTGGCAGTTTAAAAATTAACATTAGCACCTGTCCTAAAGAATAATTATAATTCATTGTGAAATTATATGCATAACCTTACTCCCCCTCTCCTGACTTTTTCTCCCCAGGCCAGTTTTTGTGGTGTTTCATAACTTTGTTCCTACTAGATTATATGTAACTTGGCCACATCCACTGAAGCCTACCCTTGAGCTTTTGATTCATGTGTGCTTAATATTTAGAAAAAAAGCTGGGTGTGGTGGCACCCACCTATAATCCCAGCATTCAGAAGCTGAGGTAAAAGGATCATTGCCAAGTTTGAGACTAGCTAGGGCTACAAAGTGAGCTCAAGGCCAGCCTTAACCACATAGCAAGACCGTGTCTCAAAAACACAAATTTTTAGTGTTCTTTTTCACATCATTCACCAATGCCGAAAAGTTGGTTCAAGTGCTGCTTTCCTTTTGTAATGCTAGAAAACTGCCCTATTTTGGCCCATTTACTCATCTTAAGACAAATTAACATGAGGTGACTAACTGGTTACAGACAGCAAATAGGTAACTCTATTACAGTAGAGCTCCAAAGGCATAAGGAAGAAAGGAGTATGATGTACAGATACATAGCCTAGCCTCATTTCATCAGAACTCTTACATTAGTCACTAAGATTTGTGCCGTGAAGAATAAATGGCTATAAAGATGACTTCTTCAGTGTCTCATCCCCATTTTAAAAGCATTTGGGGGTGAAAAGGATTTCATCTTCAAGTGTTATCATCATGGAGGTTTTTTTTTTTTAAAGTATCCTTACTGGTTCTTATGCTAAAAACATAATCTTATATAAATACCACCTATATTAATACCCAAGTTAGATCTAGTACAAGAATTACTAAAAACTTAAGACAAGGCTTCAGCTATAGCCGACTAGTAACAGTTCTATCCTGAGCTCAATGGACAAGAAGATAAGGAATAATTTCCAACTTGGCTATCATATATACTTTACTAATATATTGTAATTTCAGGGCCTTCTCCAGAAGCAAAAGGAGTTGGAAACTAACCTCATGCCTTTAGCTGCAAATCAAGAAAAGAATTTTAGTTCATTTAAAATTTAGAAAGCAGTTGTCTTCCAGATGATAAAATATTCTCATTGCTCTACTGAATTCAAATAGCCTAGTTTTATTTTTTAAATGTTCATTAAAACTTGTACATCACATAGTAAAATGCTTTTTTCTTAATAAAACACTTTAAAAAAAAAAAACTAATAGTAAAATGTTTTTCCGTCAATTTGGGTGTTTAAAATCTTACTGAATGTTTTACTTACCTCAAAGCCTGAATTTCCAGACCTGTTAACATTGTTCTTCCATACTTATAGTAATGGTCGTGCATTTTGTTTAAGAAAAAGTTCTTTCGTGGTGCCACACCTAAGCTCTTATTAAAAATAATCCAAATTCAGCTTAAGTTCCTATAGGAGTTTTTCATTGCTTTAAAGTCTTTTTATGACTTTTTTTTAATAGAAAGCTGCAATATTGAAAAACTCAAGAGGTTAATTTTAGTAAAGAGGCAATAGTGGGCGGCTGAGGCAAGAGGACTGCTGCAAGTTCAAGGCCAGCCTGAATTGCATAGTAAAACCCCATCTCAAAAATACAAAGAAGAAAAAAAAAAAAGAGAGAGTGAGAGGCAATAGATACGGGTTAGGTAAGGGTTTGAAATCTATTTCCACGATACATTTTTATGTGTGAATTTACTATAGTACTACAATGCTGAATAAATGGTAATTAAGACCACTCAAAAATATACATCTAAGAAGAATGCAAGTTCCAAATTGTTTAATGCCTTTGATAACAACAGAAAGCCCATGTTTTGAAACTGATTCGATCAATGATTATTACATAAGCACTGAAAATCATATCAAATACTATCAAAATCAAAACTGAAATGAGGTGAATTTTTACACATCTGAGCCTGTAAGATTAAAAAATAATGCTGCTTGCTATTAAGTCATATGTACATAAGTTTGTCACCTAAATGAAACTGTATTGTTAGAAACATCTTGAGGTACAAAGCCAAACTCTTAGAAATATTAACATCACTGGCTTATACCTGTGTAAAACATTAATACAAAAGCTTAAATCAAAATAATTCATATTATCCAGCATTAGAGGAAGAAAAGTGAAATCACTGCTTTTTACTTACTATCCTTCTATAAACATCTCGTTTTACATATAAAACAGGCTTCAATTTGAAGCTCAAGTACAAGTAACAGACAAA